ATACACTAAGTCCATGACAGCAGCAGTCCACCACTGAAGAATTTGTAATCTGTGGTGTACTGAAGGAACCCTACAGCAGCAACAAACTCAAACCCAGATCAACTATTTATTAGTTATTTACCTCTCCCCCAACACTAATGGTCTAATAGAAGGACAGCTGTTCCCATTTCCAGATATAAATACTATTTACCTCAGTTTCTATTGTTCTTCAACATGCAACATCAGACATTTAATAAAAAATTATTAGACATTTTAAAAAGAAGAAAGTGACCCATTATTAAGAGATAAAGTAATCAACAGAACTAGATCCAGAGATTACCCAGATATTGATATTATCTGACAGAAACTGTAAAACAACTATAATTAAAATGCTAAAGGACCTAGTGGAATGGATGGACAGCATGCATAAATAGATAGGGAATTTCAGTAGAGAGGATGAAAGCTGTAAAAAATAGTTAAATAAAAATGCTAGAAATAAAAATATGATATTAAGAGATAATCTCTTCAACAAGCTTATCAGTGGACTGAACACAGAACAAGAGAATCAGCAAGCCTGAAACAGAATAACAGAAATAATCCAAATTGAAACACCAAGGAAAATAGATTGCATAAAAGAAAACAGCAAGCACATCCAACAGAGCTGTGGGATAATATCAAATGGCCTGTCATAAATCTAATTGCAGTCTCAGAACCTTTGATCATATAATGGTTGAGAATTTTCTAAAATTAATGAAAAACGACAAACAGATCCAAAAGGCTTGGAGAATCCCAAGCAAAATAAATACAAAGAAAAACACACCCAGAGGCTGGTGCGGTGCTTCATGCACCCAGCACTTTGGGAGGCCAAGGCAAGAGGACTGTTTGATCACAGTAGTTCCAGACCAGCCTGGCAACATGGTGAAACCTCATCTCTACAAGAAAAAGAAAAGAAAAAAGCTGGGTATAGTGGCACATGCATGTAATTCTAGGTACTTAGGAGGCTAAGGTGGGAGGATTGCTTGAGCTCAGGAGGCAGAGGTTGCAGTAAGCTGAGATTATACCACTGCATTCCAGCCTGGGTAAGAGTCAAACTTCTATTAAAAAACAAAACAAAACAAAAAAAACAAGTGAAAGAAAAACACACCTGGATACATCATGGTTTAACTGCTGAAATAAAAAAGTTGAAGAATATCTAGAAGGCAGCAAGAAAAGAAAATTACATATAGATGGATAAAATTGAGAATTACAGCAGAACTCTCAACAGAAACTTTGCAAGCCAGGAGGCAATGGAGTAACTTCTTTAAAGTATTAGAAAACTTAGACTTTACTACAATCCTATTGGGTCACTTGAAATCTTGGTGTTGGTGAGGCTAATCAGGGCTAGAGTTGAGAAGGATGGTGGTATTCTGGGAACAAGAGTAAATGATAGGACTTAGATGCAAAGTGCTGGAGTGCACCTGAGGGCCAGAATGACACGGGTATGCCTCTTGAAATCAGACCAACAATAAGCAAGGTCCCCAAACCCAAAATGGGTTTTTCAGAGCCAGACCACATCAGAGACTATATTCTCTACATCGCTTTCAGCACAGTGGAGTTGGTTATAAGCACAACTGTATAACTGCAGTGCCCACCTAAGCACCTATCCCCCAGTGTCTCCAAGACACAGAATGAATGGTGCAGATTGTGACAACAGCCAAACTACAAAGGGTAGTTCCTATTATTTCATCTATTGTGAGTGATATTAAGAGACAGGAAGAAGGTGAATGAAGAATCTGCTAGTGCAGAGATCATAGACCCAGGAGGAACTGAAGCAGCTAAACACCCATGTGCTCCTATTTTGAGATATTGGGTTGCAGCCAGGAGTATGTCCTGAAATGGATGGCGGGCAAAATGTGTCAAGTAGTGTAAGGTTAAGTAGAACTTCAGTCCTTTCTATAATTTCTGTCATTTCCCAAAATCTTACCCCAGTAAATAGATAATCTAATTTTATAATTTGCTATGCATACACAGCTTCAAGACAAGTGACCCCCAACTTCCCTTTTCCGTGTAGACTGCAACCCCTTGGTCTCTCATATACATTCAGGAATCACAGGATGGAGCCACAATTGGGGGCAGTGGAAGTTCAATCTGGAGATTCTGCTTGCTTACTTACCTTCTTTATGCTATCCTTATGCTACTTGTTTGCCCACACCACAGTCATTAATCCTTCAACCCTATAGGAGAAAAGCAGTAAGAGAACATGAGCATGGGGTGGGGAAGGAGGTGGATGGGTGTTGGATTTTGACTGCTAAGAGTCCCTGGGTTATACAAATAAACACTGCTTTACTTAATGGAGGACAGCCAAGACATAAAGACGATTTCAAAAAGCCAAGGCCAAGCCCTTTGTATCTCAGCTCCTATTACATTACTGGCAATAGCACTACAAATCAATGTAGAAAATCACGTACTAGTAGGAGGGGAAAAGGAAGAAATAGTTGATCCTCTCTAGAAAGAGGGATGTCTGCAAGGCCTTCTGCTGTGGGCCCCTGCCTCTAAAGATACCCAATACAATGACAGTAGCCTTCTCCTACCTTCTTTTTATTTTTTGCTGAAGTGCAGTGGCATAATCTCGGCCTCCCAGGTTCAAGCGATTCTCTGCCTCATCCTCCTGAGTAGCTGGGATTACAGGAACACACCACCACTCCTGGCTAATTTTTTGTGTTTTTAGTAGAGATGGGGTTTCACCATGTTGGCCAAGCTGGTCTTGAACTCCTGACCTCAAATGATCTGCCAGCCTCAGCCTCCCAGAGTGCTGGGATTACAGGCATGAGCCACCGCGCCTGGCCCTTCTCCTACCTTCATGTGATCACTCTTACGTTTCAGAAGTCAAAACAGGACAAGCAGCTAATAATTTTCAATTCTGCTTATCTATGCTCTAGTTGTATACAATTGTCTGAGAAATTGCAATTGAATTATTTTCCACTTCCAATGCTGTTAGGCAAATCTTTCAGACACCATCCTGAGCATTTAAGACAATGGAGGAATTACCATTGTACCATTACCAATATCTAGCTAAAATGTGTCTATCATTCCTTTTACTTTTTGTTTAAGTCTCAAAATATGAGATGGGGGTCTCACTTTACTGCCCAGGCTGATCTTGAACTCCTGGCCTCAAGTGATACTCCTGTCTCAGCCTCCGAAAGGGTTGGAATTACAGGTGGGAGTCATCACACCCAGCATTATTCATTTTTAATTTTGAAATATTTTGATTGCATTAGGGTACTGAGATGATTTTTTTTTTTTTTGAGGGTCTTGTTCTTTCACTCAGGCTGGAGTACAGTGGCACAGTCTTGGCTCACTGAAACCTCTGCCCCCTGGACTCAAGTGATCCTCCCACCTCAGCCTCCTGAGTAGTTGGGACTACAGGTGCACACCATCATGATCAGCTAGTTCTTTAATTTTTTTGTAGAGACAAGGTCTCACTATATTGCCCAGGCTGGTGTCAAACTCAAGGCCTCAAAGTGATCCTCCCAGTTTAGCTTCCCAAAGTGCTGGGATTACAGGTCTGAGCCACCACACCCAACAGGTTTTAAAAAATATCCGTTTATCACAACAAAAACATATTTTAAAAATCATTATTGAAAAGCTCCACGCTATAATAAGCATGGATTAGTCAAATTATCTTTTTAAAGCCCTCTTTAATTCCAAGGAGACAAAGAAAGTTGTTGGTCATTAAACATGTTACATGTATGACTAATATTTATTATAGCTAATATAATAGTTTAGAACAAGGAAATTTAGTAGAGTTGTAACATTTTGGTGTTACATGTATAATTCAGCATAAGCCAAAGCCCTTTTTAAATAACCAATACTATCATTTTATGAAATCTTTACAAGATAAGCAAAGTAGTACAATATTTAAGCATCTCAAATCTCCGTTTTACAGTTGACTATCAAGGAGTGGCTGTTATAAAAAGCTCTATGATGTTCTCCTTCTTTTGTTAGTAAGGTAGGGAAATAAGCAACACACTTTTTAGAGGAATCCATGCAATGGACAGAAAGTCAGATTAGGTGGTATCTAGGGATCCATCCAGCTCTGGGACTCTATGATCAGATGACCTCTAAAGTTTCTTCTAGATCAGAAAACAGAGGGACTTGGAACATAATTTTTTCCATTTTAAATGGTTATATAGGTTAATAGCATTTTTTGCTTTTCCAAATTCATTGCTGGTGATGTCTATTACTTATTTGATGTCATGTCTTTGACCAGGAATGCACTCCTAACTAGTGTTGTTCCACGAAAACATTTCATTTTATAGGAAGCATATCCCAGAAACATTACAAAATACTAGTCCCAGTATAAGTAACATTTGCCAACTAGACTCTGGGCTATACTTTAAAATATCTGATGTTCAGCCAGGTGTGGTGGCTCATCCTTATAATCCCAGCACTTTGGGAGTCTGAGGCAGGAGGATCACTTGAACTCAGGAGTTCAAGACCAGCCTGGGCAACATAGTGAGACACTGTCTCTACCAAAAAAAAAAAAAAAAAAACTTAAAGAAAAATAAAGAATATGTCTGATGTTATTTCTGTATCTCAAGTCCAACAATAAATAATCTAAAAGCACATTTTTATTTGCAGCAAAATTTAAGATAGACAGTACTTTTTTGTTGTTTGAGACAAGGTCTGGCTCTATCACCCAGGTTGGAGTACAGTGGTACAATCTAGGCTCATTGCAACCTCTGCCTCCCGGGCTCAAGCCATCCTCCCATCTCAGCCTCCTGAGTAGCTGGGACTACAGGCACTCACCACCATATCTGGCTAATTTTTGTATTTTTTGTAGAGACAGGGTTTTACCATGTTGCCCAGGCTAGTCTCAAATTCATGAGCTCAAGCAATCTGCCTGGATGATAGGTATGAGACACTGTGTCCAGCTGATGGTACTCTTAAAAGTAGGCATCTAAACTCAATACCTGAAAAACTGAAATGTGATGTTAAATTATATCTGAAATTTTCAAATCTATTTAAAAATCAAATAAAACTTGTAGTTTCCTTATTTCCTTTATTTTAACTTGTCAAAAAACAAAGATATTCTTGTGCATACATACAGGCTGTCCCTCAGCATTCAGAACTATGCAAATAATTTTTCAATATGATGACAAAATGAAAAATTTACACACTTTAGTGTAGTGCTTAATACTTTTCTTTTTTCTGAGATAGGAGTTTTGCTCTTGTTGCCCAGGCTGGAGTGCAATGGCACAATCTCGGCTCATTGCAACCTCTGCCTCCCAGGTGCAAGCCAATCTTCTGCTTCAGCCTCCTGAGTAGCTGGGATTACAAGCATGTGCCACCACACCCAGCTAATTTTGTATATTTAGTAGAGATGGGGTTTCTCCATGTTGGTCAGGCTGGTCTTCAACTCCCGTCCTCAGGTGATCCACCCACCTTGGTCTCCCACAGTGCTGGGATTAAAGGTGTGAGCCACCGCACCCGGCCTTAATACTCATCTTTGAAATCTATTACTGATGCTATGTCTAAAGGGCAATGACTCAACCAGAAAAAATTGTAAAGGTTGCCTTTTCCTTTTTAAAGTGCTTATTAGCTTTATATCCAAAAACAATGGTTTTTACAAATACATAATACTGAAAGATGCTCAAAAAGTCACTACTTACAGAACTGAACATGTCATTTTCTAACTCGGCACATGTAAACCTGTTTTATCTGCATTAATGAAGGTTGCTTCCAATGGTTCTCAACCACATGCTTCAAATCAAGACAGTGCTAAGTTCCAGCAGCATGAAGAGTGATAGTGGAACAAACCCCGGCACATTTCAAATGGCTCTCAGCAGACCAGAGAAAGTGTAACAGCTTCTGAATATGTTACACATCCATGAGCCTTATCTTTCACTCTGCATATACGGTAAACATAAAAGAAAAAGAAACACTTTGTCTCCCTGTAGAGCATTTTATAGTATAGGAAGGATTCAAATTCTCGAATTATTTAACAAAACTCGTTTCTACATAGAAGAGGTTTTATATTCTTAATGTTTAAAACAAAGCCTATTTCCACCAAAAAAGAAGAAAAACCTAAAAACTCTAAAAACCTTAGAAATAAAATTGTGAGAATTCTGAAACAAAGTGTTTTTTTAAAGGCTAATACAAATATTCCAAAATAGAATTTCTGAGCATGAAATACGTGATTTCATTTCAATTGTAACACTTTCATCTGATTAAAATAATTTAGAAATAAGGATCTGATTGAAATAATTTAGAAAAAATAAAGATCATCTTCATGTCACTGCTTTCTGTCTGAGACCATCATTCCGTTCATGCCCTCAATAGAAACCACTGTCCAACAGTCTTACAGTGAGCATCCTCTCAGGTCCCGGTCTGCTTGCTGAACCTGAAGCTGGTTTTACCCCTCCTTTGGCTCTTCTCTAAAATCCTCTATATATCTCAAGAGGAAAGTATTCATTTAAAAAAATGACAATACAGTGTGATAATGCTACATTGATTTAAAGTAGTAATAAATTATAAATTGCCAAATAACTTAACGTAATTCACGATGCAAATCCCTGGTATAAAAAGAATCCATATTGCCCTGAATATAATAAAGCAATCCACTGATTTTTAGATTACTTATGAAATAAAGGTAAAAATAAGATGTAAAATACTACTTATAAAAGTCAAGTAAGAAACCAGTTACCATAAATCTTTTTACAAAGATAAATGTAATGTGGCTTACCATTTCTAAAAATTGTTAGGGAGGTTTGGAATCAGTGGTTTCAAAAATTACTCTAGGGAAACTAGAGACTGAATTATGTATTATTGTGATGTACAATATATTAACTATACATATAACAACAATAATACTACAATGGGGAGTAATTAATCTTTGGACCTGCTACTTCTTGACAAGTATATTTCTTTTTCAAAGTCTTTGCTGTAACTGATTTTTAAATGTTAGTTTTCAAAAACTTTTCTACTTGAGATACTTATATTAATAAGAAGATACCAGAAGTCTAGAACAGTAATAAAATGCCTATAAAATAATGATTGTTCTTGCATCTTCTGTTATTGTGACAAACACACATTAAAATAGATAACATTGCTATGCCTGGAAATTAAAAATATCAGTATCTGTTAGAAAGAAGTGGAAAAGGAAAGATAAATGGAAAATTCTTATTTAAAAATGGGTCTGAAGTCCTTGCATTTCTTAAGAGCTTGACTTGTCAAATCACAGTTTATCTTCTTTCTGAAACCCAGCTGTGTCTTCCACCATTAATTCACGTGATATGAGATGTCAATTCTCCATTTTGTAGGGCTCAGTTTGAATTTTCTTGAATGTTTGCAAAACTGGTACTGGACTTGAGACGTTTGGCTAGATAAGTCAAAAAAATTATGTTTTAATTTAAATTTAATTATCAAACATGATTATTTACTATTTTTATGTAAACTACAGCATTTGTCTATTAATTCTATGTTTGAATCCTGACAGATCCAGTCTTATAAGAATTAAAACCTAACTAAAACTTTTTTCTACAACCTCAAAAAACATAACTTTGTTAGAAACTGCACATGACTTTGTTAGAAGCAGTACCAAATAAAACGGCATCATTTATAACTTCTTGAACATCACAATTATAAATATGGAATGTAGGTGAAATAAATCTACTTAGACAATGAAAATGCCGTAAGGCTGAATAACAAAATTATACATCTAAAAGTCGAAGTTAGAAATCCAAATCTAAATTTCTCTTAAAATTCGCTGAAAAATTCCTCAACCTGATAAAGCGCGTATACAAAGATTCTATAGCAATCACTATGCTTAATTGTGAAAGACTGAATGATTTTCCCCCTAAGATCTGGAACAAGACAAAAATACCTGGTCTTACTGAACATCATGCCACTAACTTATCACCAATGCAACAGGTAAGAGAAAAGAAAAGGAAAAGTATACATATTGGAAAGAAATAAATAAAACTACTTCTATTTTCAGCTTGAAAAAAAAAACTCAGTGAAAGAACTCTGTAATGGCAAAAAAAAAATATTTTAATGACCCTCAAAGAAAAGTGAATTGTATATTATTATGGAACTCTGTAATGTAAAAAAATTTTTAATGACCCTCAAAGAAAACTGAGTTGTATATTATATACACACGCGAACACGTATGGCTGCTAACAAAATACATTACCATCAACTCTGATTTGATGATAATGGGACTGAGTCATTAGGGTTAATAAAACAAATAATGGCTATTTGGCTTGGTAATATGTTTTTTCCTTATAGTTAAACATGAATGTTTCTCAAGTTCTAGAAATGAAAAATAATTGTGCCATAGTGAAAAGTATTTTATACTGAGTAAGAGTCTCCCTACTTCAGAGGTTCACAAAACTGGGGTAGGGGTTATGATTTAGAAGCTCTGCAATAGGACCATGGTACGTGTACTTTTTTTAAAGCTCTGCAGATAATTCTGATATGTAGCCAAGGATGAGAACCAGTGTCTCTGGTTTCTGTCAGGCCCCCCTGACCACCACTCTAAGTGGAAAATGGCAACATGGCTTCCAGGACCAGTGTACTGCTTCAGCTTAAACTAAAGGGAAAACTTAAACTAAAAACATCGGCCTAAACTAAAATCTACTTCTTAAGCCTTCAGTAGATTTGGGAGACAAACCAAATCAATAGCTTGGGTTTTTAAGACCTACTTTGTTAAAAACAACTAGAAGTGATCTAGCTTCTGACTAAATTTCAAATGACTTAATAAACTGGCCAAGTTAAATACTAATGAGTACATACACCTACAACTTCCTTGCCTCTATATTCTCTACCTGATACATCCCTACATCCTCCCCCAGAAATCATTTAATGGTGAATTTCAACAACTCTAAAGCAGTTAGCTGTTCCTTCTCCTCTGTGGTCCAACTGTATACTATATATACCTGTACTAAATGTGTTATATAGATTATTGTCAACATGTTCTTTGAGGGCATGCATTATGCCTTGTTCCTTTTTTTAATCTCTAATTCCTACCACAATGCTAGCATTCGATAACTGTTTGATAGATGGAAACAGAAAAGTAAATGAAAATGTCCCTGAAGTACTAGTAGCACAAGAACAGTTTGCTTACACAGTCCTAGCATTTCCTAGTGTTTCATGAATAATGCTTCTGTGAAACATGAATAGTTATTATGCAAAGGTTCTACTGTCATGTTATGGGACATGCACTCTCAGAGCCTTTAACTTACGTTTACATGTATTACAAAGCTCATGAAAAGGACATGGTATGCAGCATTTCCCAATCTTACTTGATCCATCTTTTTAAATAGAGAATTTCACAGGAGTAGTATTTTGAGGAACATACTCTGTAAAATGTTCACATTAAGTGTAATGCTCTTTTTTGGGGATGGAGTCTTGCTCTGTTGCCCAGGCTGAAGTGCAGTGGCGTAATCTCGGCTGACTGTAACCTCCACCTCCCAGGTTCAAATGATTCCCCTGCCTCAGCCTCCCTAGTAGCTGTCATTATAGGCACACACCACCACACCAGGCTAATTTTTGTGTTTTTAGCAGAGACAGGGTTTTACCATGTTGGGCAGGCTGGTCTTGAACTCCTGACTTCAAGCAGTCCACCTGCCTCAGGCTCCCAAAGTGCTGGGATTACGGGTGTGAGCCACCACGCCCGGCCCAAGTGTAATGTTCTTTTACTTAACAATTTTTTAAATTATCTATTTATTTTAGAGACATATGCCTTGTCTCACTGTGGTCCATGCTATAGTGCAGTGACTTGATCATAGCCCACTGCAGCCTTCAACTCCTGGGTTCAAGGGATCCTCCTGCCTCAGCCTCCAAAGTAGCTGGGACCTCAGGTTCGCACTACCACACTTGGCTAACCCTTAGTTTTTTGTGTTTTTGTTTTTTGTAGACACCAGGGTCTTGCCGTGTTGCTCAGACTGGTTTTGAACTTCACCATCAAGCAATCTTCCCACCTCAGGCTCTCAAAGTTCTGGGATTACAGGCATGAATCACCAAGCCCAGCCTCAAAAAATATTTTTGGCACCTCCGATGGGCTGGGCACTTTCTAGAGGTTGGTGATACAGTGGTAAACAGGATAAACCACATTCTTGTTCTGATGAAGCTTACAGTCTAGGCAGGGGAGACAAACAAGGCAGAGTATAAATGAAAAATATGATTTAAATAACAAATTATTTAATTTAAATTAAATGATTAAGTGCTATTAAAGAAAGATTGCACAGAAGAATGAATAGAGGGGTGTATTCTTAGACAGGGGAGTCATAAAAGATCTCTTTGAGCAATTAACTTTAGAGCTAAGACCTGGCTTGCAAGATGCCAGGTTAGGAAAGCAGGAAGGGCCTTGGAAAAGGGGCAGTGTGAATGAGCTTGGTAACAGAGAAAAAAAGAAAGGAACCAGACTGTCCACCACCATGAGCAATGAGGAGAATGGATGTGATGAGTTTAGAAAGGTGGCTATGGGCCAGAGGTCATGTACAGCTTGGAAAGCAGACCCTGTAAAGTAAGTTTGGATTTATTCTAGGTACAATGGGAACACATTAAGGGTTCCAAGTAGCAGAGAAACATGGTAAATTTGTGTTTAAAAAATTATTCTAGCCACTATGTAGCGCATGGATTTTAGTAGATCAAGAAATGGAAGGAGGGATACCAGTTAAGGGGCTCCTGCATTAAAACACATAAGAGATGAAGACGGCTTGGGCTGGGGTTTACCAGTGGAGTTAGAGAGAAGACTATGTAGGACTGTTAGCATACTTGCTGATGAATTAAAAGGGGATGAGGAGGGGAATGTGGGAATGGAAAAATAAAAGAAAGAAAAGAATTAAGAAATGACTACAAAGTTTGTGGTTCCACAGCAAATAGTGACACTGGTAGTGTCACTTACTGTGACAACAAACAAAAAATCCTGATCAGAAGCAGTAAATACTTTCCATAAAGTTAAACAGATTTGCGAGGCAAATAAGATGCTAAACTTTAAAAGTATATCACACTCCAAAAAATAGTTTTTCAATGGTGAGGTGCCCACAATATTTTGCTGTTATTCTAAATAAGTGCTTTAAGGACCTAAGCTACTATATGTTTACAGAATGCTGGCAACCTTCAAAAAGCTTTATTAAATACACCCATGACAAAGATTCTTCCCTACAGTGGCTAGTATTTTAAGGTGATGAAACATTACAAATTCAGTTCAAACTGATCTACAGGTAACCAGGTAACTTTTTTTTTTAAAGTTAAGATATATTAGAAGTGAAGCTGGATGAAATAGTGATAGAAATTTAGATGCTGGAGAGGATGTGGAGAAAAAGGAACACTTTTACACTGTTGGTGGGAGTGTAAATTAGTTCAACCATTGTGGAAGACAGTGTGGCGATTCCTCAAGGCCTTAGAAATAGAAATTCCATTTGACCCAGCAATCCCATTACTGGGTATATATCCAAAAGACTATAAATCGTTCTACTATAAGGACACATGTACACGAATGTTCATTGCAGCACTGTTTACAATAGCAAAGACCTGGAATCAACCCAAATGCCCATTGATAATAGACTGGATTGGAAAAATGTGGCACATATACACCATGGAATATTATGCAGCAATCAGAAATGATGAGTTCGTGTCGTTTGTAGGGACATGGATGAATCTGGAGAACATCATCCTCAGCAAACTGACACAAGAACAGAAAATGAAACACCGCATATTCTCACTCATAGGTGGGTGATGAAAAATGAGAACACATGGACACAGAAAGGGGAGTACTAAACACTGGGGTCTAAAGGGGAGGGCTAGTGGGAGGCGGAGGTGGGGAGGGATAGCCTGGGGAGAAATGCCAAATGTGGGTGAAGGGGAGAAGAAAAGCAAAGCACACTGCCATGTGTGTACCTACGCAACTGTCTTGCATGCTCTGCTCATGTACCCCAAAACCTATAATCCAATAAAAAATTAAAAAAAAAAAAAGAAATTTAGATTCCTAGACTACAAGTAGTATTTGAGAGAAAAGAAAATTAACTTTTTTCCTTAAACAGTTCTCTTTTAAAAAAAACTAAAATTATTAAGGCCTAAGCCCATACTTTCATTCTGTTAATAAAAAGAAATCCATGTGACTTAGAAGCCACTCTTCTCTAGCTGGATGGTATCTCTAGGTAGCACTTCTTTTGCTCTGGCCTATTTTATAGGGAGAAAGAAAAGGAATGAATATTTATTGAGCACATACTATTATGTCAAATAATGTCCTTGGAACTACAATTCAAATTTGTTCATAAACACACTGTGTGTATGTTAGCTACAGTTTCTTCCTGCCTGCCACACTTTTAGGTGGTTCTACCATGACTCCAATGGGTCTAAGAACTGTCTATATCTCCTGCTATTGCCATGTCAGGAGTGCAAAGCCTCTATCTATTCGTATGTCATTGCCAACCTTATTCCAGGGGTAATCTAGCTTTCTCAATTTAATCATCTGAAAGACACTGTGTTTTAACTTTTTATTGTCTGCACTTGTTTCTTTCACTAGTAAGCATGATTGTAAAATTTAAAGCAAAGAGCCCCTTCAGGCTAATCTACTTTAAGTTCTCAGAATACCAATCACTTCTAAAACAGGCCTAAATTTTAGGGGCTTTTACCTATAAAATAAACAATTGTAAAAAACTTACGCAGAATGAGTTTGCGTTTCTTTTGCTCCGAGTGAAGAAAGCTACTAAGGTAGAAGACAACAGGTAGAAAGAGAATGAACACAGAAACAGCAATTACAGGCACTGTGTCGCTGCAAGGGACTGAACAGTTGAAAGTTCGACTCCAAAGTTTTCGAGTGATGTTCATCTGGAACAAGGACAAACGATATCATTTTATTTTATATTTAACTTGTCTTAATTTCTTATAATTATTTTGCTAATAACTAAACAGGAACCTAGAATTTAGACTAAATATACACCTCTAAAAACCTACTGATAGTTGAGGGCAACTTCTTCTTCCAGGAAAAAAAGCTGGTTCACAATCAGTCATTGTATAAATTTATATCCACACAGAAATTTCATAGTCTAAGTCCATTAATACTGACTGACCAAAATATTCTAGAATGTCAACCATTTGTACATTTAGATAACTTGAATGAAGAGGAATATAGTTAGGCACTGTTTTACCCACTTAAAAATATTTATTATTTATTGAGAGCCTACTAGAAACTAGGTACTGTTTTAGGCATAGGAATGGAGCAGTAAAAACAAAAATCCACACTGTACATTTCATTGTAAGTGCTTTTTACCATCTAGAATATTATTGGTCCTTATAGTTCCCATTGAGCTGCTGTGATAATTTACACTCATTCTCAATTCTTAAGCTCATTAATTTTGACCTCAAGTTCTCTACTTTGAGCCAGTAATTTCTCTTTCCTCTAATGCCTCAATACTCAGGCATCATATTGCCTAAAAAGGCATGATTGCCATCTAGTGGCACACTATGTAAAGGCAGGCTATAAAATGGAGAAAAAAAATTTTTTTTGACCATTCATTCAATTAATACACGTTTATTAAGCCCATTATGTACCAGATTGTCCTAAATACTGAATGGTGAATTTAAAAAGCCTAGGTCCTTGTTCTCATGTGCCTCTTATTTTAGTAAGGAAGATAGACTATAAACAAATATTTTCAGATGGTAACAGATAGAAGAAAATTAAACAATAGGATAGGAAGTGACTGAGGAATGGCTTCTGAAACGTAGTGAAACCTAGAAACTTCTTAAATTACCGACAAGTGCACAAGAAACCGAAATATAAACATATAACAGTACCTACACCTCTGAAAATGGCACATATTTTCAAATTTAAAAAGATTAAATGTACCAAATCATCACACACTTATGAAGTACCTAATTAATTTCTATTTTATTTTATTTTTACCCTAACCATGAGATTACCAGGGAAATATCCATTTTGGCTTAACAGACCAGGATATTCTAAAACTTTACTACTTTATAACTAGTTATTTCTGGTTGAAGACAGAATATGCAGATTCCATCATATCTCCATAAAGAATAATCACCCTGAAGGTACATTCAATAACACTCTAAAATTTTGTATCATCTAAAAAGCAAAGTACTTACTGCATCTTCCACATCAATGCATAAATGTGTTCCAGGTTCAGCCTTATTCTCAAGTTCATTCATTTTTTGCATTTCACTGTACAGACTACTCAGACTTTTGTAAGCTTCATGACAGTTTTTGCATACTTCTGAATAATTTTTTGTCTGTAAGAGACTATGTGCACTTCCCTAAAATGACAAATGCATATGTAATGTATACAATAAACATTATACACAATATGTCTTTAATGTAAGCTATTTGCCCTTCTAGAAGACAGGAAACAATATGGTATGTTAAAGTACTAAGCTGTGATGTTGAGCAGGTTACTAAATCACTCTGAGTCTCAGCTTTATCATCGGTAAAATAAAATGACCTCTACCTGTACTCCAAAGGACTAGAGACCTGGTATGTGAAGCAGATGGCAAACTGTTTGGAAATTTCTATGTGTCCCTACATTTTGAAAACCGCTGCATTAGCTAATGTTAACTGAGGAGAACAATAATTCATATGCCAAATTACTGATAACTAAACAGAAAATCTCCTAATTTATCTCATTATTAACGTACCTGCACTTATCTATCCTTCTCTCACTGAATGAATAAAAGCGGTTCCTGCCTACACTGATTTCAACACCACAGTTTATCTTACTGAGACAGGACTTTTTAAATGGAAAAGGAAAAGGCACCAAAACTGCATCCCCATTCAACTCTCACAAAAGTCATAATCCAGGCCTTTCTAGTCAACAAAAAGGGCCAAATACCGAAGAATGGTATACCCTAAAATGAGGATAGTGGAGATACACAAAATACTATGCTAGTAAATCTCAAGCTTCTGTACTTCTAGACTGACATTTGTCTTTTCAAGAATAAGTGTGCTAAACAGTCAATTCACATCTTTGCTTTCTATGCCCTTTATTCTTTACCATGTAGTATGGAGAAAGGATATTAACTGAACAATGAAATGCAACAAAAAGGATAAAAATCAAAGTAATTACACGATGTAGCCCCAACAATGTTACCCTCACCATATATTTGACAGGAAAACTAAGTCTCTTCTTAGTCTGCTGCAAGTAGCCCATTGCTTTTCACAGAACAACTGTGCATTTAGCTAAAAATTGTGCACTTAATCAATTTAGCTAAAATTGAGCACATACTCTTGATGGGAAGTAATTTAATCTTATTTTTTATTTTTATTGTTTTTTTTTGAGACAGGGTCTTACTATTTTGCCCAGGCTGATCTCGAACTCCTGGGCTCAAATGATCCTCCCACCTCCACCTTCCAAAGTGCTGGGATTATAGGCAGGAGCTACCATATCTGGCTGCCATTTTTATTAAAATGTAAAATGCACATATCTTTTGATAACGTGAAAGTTGCAGACATTAGGATGAAATCCTTTGTCATACTCAGACAAAATAGGACCAAGAAGGCCCAAAGGAGAGGAGACTCATACTTACATGTCTGATATAGCTGTTTCCAAGAACTTTCTAAAAACCCAACAAGAAACCCTTCACGCCCTTCATGCATCTCCTGCTTTCACATGGTTTATCACTGCCATTCTTTAGGACTGCAGTAATTTAGATAAGATGAGCTCCAAAGAACACCTGCCCAGTAATGGCATCTCCACTAACGAACTGACGACAACTCTGACTTTGAGTCTCTGGAACCAATGAACTCAGTTTCTAAGCTTCCCTTTACCTTTCCCTCACTGGATGTACTGGTGGTTTGCCAGTGTATTCCAAATTATAATACTCCTTTCTCATTCCCTAGTAAACTCATCATATTTGAAGACAGTTTTCTCTAGTGTTTTTTTCCTTGGTTGACAATATAGTAATTCCACCCCTAGAAATCTACTAAACTCATACAAGTACTTTAAATGAAAAGAGGGCTGTTTATGGTGAACAATTTAAAAATTATGAATTGTTTGTTTATACCTAGAACTTTCCATTTAATATTTTTGGACCACAGTTGGCCACAGGTAACTGAAACTGTGAAAAGTTAAGCCACAGATAAGGGGGATGACTTTACAGAAAAATTGCTAGTTGAGTGTTATAACACACATTGGTCCACTAAAGGTTTTGAAGTCCTGTAGTAAAGCATTTCCCAACCTTAATGGAATACTAAAGCTTTTCTGATCTATTAACATGCTACAGAACAAATTCTGAGAAATGTTCACCTAATTTTTTTTCTTAATTTTTTTTTTTTTTTTTTTTTTGAGACAGAGTCTCGCTGCGGCACCTAGGCTGGAGTGCAGTGGCGTGATCTCAACTCGCTGCTTTCCAGGTTCAAGCGATTCTCCTGCCTCAGCCTCCTGAGTAGCTGGGACTACAGGTGTACTCCACCAAGCCTGGCTAATTTTTATATTTTTACTAGAGACGGGGTTTTACCACACTGTCCAAGTTGGTCTCAAACTCCTGACCTAAAGTGATCTGCTCGTCTTGGCCTCCCAAAGTGCTGGGATTACAGGTGTGAGCCATCATGTCTGACCTAATTTTTATTATTCTCAGGGAATAGTAACATAGAAGAGGAAGTCATACATGCTTATATCCTAAGCATGTGTACATGTACTGTGGGGAATACTTACTTGCTATGTAAGTTTCAAAACTACAGTTTAACCAGAGTTCCAACCTTGTCCTTCACCACCACCAGGCAAGTTCCAATACCAAAATTCAACAGTCAGAGATAGAGACAGCAAAAATTTACAAGGTTAAGATTCTTAAAGGCTACCTTTTAGTATTGTAATTCAATACTCAAACTTACCTTACTGAACAGTGCTTTTAAAGATAGGTAAAATATATTTAAGCAAATTTCAGGCAAAGAATAAACTTTCTGTAGACAGAATCAAACTACAATGCAAAATACCTACATAAGTCAGACTGAAAAACATTGCGTTTTAATTAAACAATCACACACCTTAATCAATGATTTCACACTCATTATCTCACCAGATTCTCATTACAAAATACTTGAAGATAGGCAGGCTAGATATTATCTCCATTTTACAAATGAGATAACTGACATTTTCATGATTTGCAAGTAGAGGAACTTACTCAAGAGCAGAAATCCAGGTCCACTAATTCCTCTACATCATGAGTTTAGGGCCAGGCACGGTGGCTCAAGCCTGTAATCCCAGCACTTTGGGAGGCCGAGACGGGTGGATCACGAGGTCGAGAGATCGAGACCATCCCGGTCAACATGGTGAAACCCCGTCTCTACTAAAAATACAAAAAATAAGCTGGGCATGGTGGCGCGTGCCTGTTATCCTAGCTACTCGGGAGGCTGAGGCAGGAGAATTGCCTGAACCCAGGAGGCGGAGGTTACAGTGAGCTGAGATCGCGCCATTGCCTGGGTAACAAGAGCGAAACTCCGTCTCAAAAAAAAAAACATGAGTTTAGATAAATATCAATAGTTGGTGCTATAAAAACTTGGAACTGCACATTATTCCTTTGTACAAAGCAGCATTTTAATTTTAACTGTTATATATAAAATACCTGAAGGTTATGCTCAAAGCAGGTCAGGGTGTGATTAAATAGATTAAGAAAATATATTGTGCTGTTTGATAATTCTTCACTGTCGTTCGTTAAACAATCTGTCAAAAAAATTCAAAAACTGTATTAATATAACTCAAGAACAATTATATGTTGTCATTTATCTCTTAAGCTATCAACTTCGTTTCACACTATAGTAATTCTTTATTCAAACAAGCATGAATTTTCCAAATATAAAAAGCTTACTGCTTTTATTTTCTAAAAGTTAAAAAAAGCCATAACCATTTTCATGAACATCTTCAAATAATCATATACTCCTCTTTTCATAAAAATATAAGAAATAAAATTCAAAATGACTTTTGATGGACAAGGTCATAATTACAGACTATCAGCTACCAAATGCTGCCTTAATAGTGCTATTTAGGCATAAGACTGTTTACGCTGCATTAATCTTACCAAAACTCATATGCCTTGTCATTATTGTGTCAAATGTCATAGTTCTGTGTGTCTTCCAACTTCACTAATGGGTCACTTATTGTACCTAACAGGTTAACTTTTAAAATTTGCTCTTTCTAATCCATCATGAGATGGGAGTCCAAAGAAACAAACTGATGAGAATTTTGCCTAAAATACTTATATGGGGGCTTCAAGTAAAGTCTAGAAACAAAATTGTTTTACATTTTTTAAAAATCCTACATAAATGGTATTACTCTGCAACTTGCTATTCTTGCTTAGAGTTAGCTCAAGTTCATTCATTCCTTTTGTTTTCTGTGTATGTGTATACCACAATTTATGTATCCATTTACCCTTCTCTTCAGGGAATATTCTTTTTTTTTTTTTTTAAGAGATGGGTCTTGCTCAGTTGCCTAGGCTGGAGTGCAGTAACACAAGTGCAGCTCATTGCAGACTTGAACTCCTGGGCTCAAGTGATGTTCCCACCTCAGCCTTCCAAAGTGCTGGGATTACTTAAAGGCGTGAGCCACTGAGCTCAGCCAGGGAACCTCGTCTTTATCCTCAGGTGAACCTTTGTCTTTACCTCTCCTTGTGTTCTCAGCCTGTTATCTCCCATTGAGGTTCAACTGCCTGGTTCCAGATCCTGGAACTTGTGGTTACCCATTTCCATCTCACTCTCCTAGAATCCTTGCCCTGTTTACCTTCCACACACTCACGGACATTTTCAATCATGGGCAGTCCCCTGTATACTTTCTATACTCTCAGTCTGATTATAGAATAGTACTACAGAAATTCTAGAATTATAATGAAAGGACCCAATTCAAATTCATGTGTTCTGACCTCAGGGCCACAAAACAATCCTTGCAGATGCCCTACTAATTGCTTTACAAGGGATGTTCCAAATATTTTCTAATCGCTAGTCCCCAGCCCTACTCTTGTTCCCCTTACTTTCAACAGATGGCTTTGTATTATACCCACCTTATTTAGACATTCAGGGCCATCTAATAGGATCACTCTCAACTGAAAGTTGGGAGACAAAATAGGAAGCTATTGCAATTACCCAGGAGAAAGGTGTCAGAGCAAGTAGAATTTGTGGGGGAAAAAAGAGAACGACTAGGTAGACACTAGGATATGATACACTAAGAGACATCCATGCACTCTGATAGGCAACAATCACTACAACAAAAGTTAACACTTACTAAATACTTGCTATGTTCTAAGAACTATGCTTACACTGCACTTGAAACACATTTGCCCATTTAATTCTTGCAATGATTCCATGAAGCAAAAATTATCACTATTTCCATTTTATAAATAAGGAACAGAAGTTTAGAGAAATTAAGGAAGTTGCTCAAGGTCATAAAACTGATGTGAAAAGCCGGAATCTCTACTCAGTCTGACTCTTGAGCCTGCACTCGCAAACACTGCAGAACAAATAACATGTTTATATCTACATACATAATCAAACCATTAAAAGTTCAAGACTTACAGTCTACAAATACATGCCACTTCCTATTCCCTCCACTACCCATAGATATCTTATACTATACAAGGATTCAGGCAGTCCCCACCAACTGATCTGAGTTAGCAATAGAGATGAAACCTAAACCTGGTAGACAGGGGACACATAGCACAGTGAAGCTCCTTTGTGCAAATCAGAAAAAGATACCCGCTCTGGCTGGATGAATTACAAAGGGGCATTCCCACCTTCAGAAGCTGAGCTGGAACACAGCCCCATTCACCTCCTCACACAAGCCCCTTGTGGAGGGCTCCTTCTGCACTCAGTGTACACAGGACCCTCTTGGTGAACCTATTTCTAGAGTCGTCCCCTCTCTGAACTCACACTCTACATTCTCTGAAGCTTTATCTTCTCAAGAACATAAATCTCATTCTAACTTCTCACCCTTATCATTTAAAAAATCTGAGGGATCACTACAAATTAGGAAACTAAGCCAGAGAAATAGGTGATATGCTGATGATCGTACCACAACTGAAATAAAAATAGGCCCGGCACGGTGGTTCACACCTGTAATCCCAGCACTCTGGGAAGTGGGAGGATTGCTTGAGTCCACGAGTTGGAGACCAGCCTGGGAAACACGGTGTAACCCTGTCTCTACAAATAATACAAAAATTAGCCAGGCATGGTGACATGCACCTGTGGTCCCAGCTGCTTGGGAGGCTGAAATGGGAGAATCGCTTCAGCTTGGGGAAGTTGAGGCTGCAATAAGCTGTGACTGCACCATTGTATTCCAGTCTGTATGACAGAGTAAGACTTAGATGTGCATATATACATATAAACATAAGCCCCTCTTAATATCATCATGAAGTAGCCCACTACCCTTTTGGGACTGACACAGAGTTCATATAAAAACAATTACATATATGCAGAATATTAGGCTATTAGGCTAAGAAGACTGAACAAGTTTTCAGTATTTGTAGTTGATGTGTTGCAGGGAAGTTGAGGGAACACAATTTCATTCACAACAATTGTACATCTGTGTTACAATGAGCTATGTCATGACAACTGACACACAATATAGAGATGAAAGGGGGTGTGTGTCCACATACTGCCTGCAAAAGTAGTATAAAGGGCATTATCATGGGAGAGCAATAGCAAATTTCTTCTATGCAGGATACATCACTAAAACAAATACTTTCTTTTTAAAAAGTAACATATAAAAAAAATTCTCTGAAGAATCAAAGAAGTTAGTTTCTTCTATCTAACTGAGAGTAGTTTACTTTTCACTTAAAATAATTTGGAAATTAAACTAAAAGCCAATATAAACTGGTCATCTTGTTAAGTACTACATTAATACAGTACCATCAAAAGTTTTTCAATGATCATTAGACGGTGGTATCATAAAGCACAAAGGAGTTCATTTATATAATGGGGTTTTAAAAATCTTCATTATTAAAGAGCTCTGACTTTCCAAATTGAGATAACAGAACTCTAGTAAATTCCTTTTTCATCTTTTTGCAGGAATTGGGAGTTTAAGGTTATAAAAAGTGAGAAGCTACATAGTTTAGAAATTGGTAAGTTAAAGAATATTAATAATAATAAAGCTTCCTATAAGCACTAAGTGAAGTGGTCATTATGAATTTCCTTCATCTTAGATAATCAATGGAGCCTCATCAAGGACAAATTAACAGGGTGGCTTTCTCAGTGAAGGCTGAGGCATCCGCTTAAGAGGCATTTTTTTTTTTTTTCTGAGACAGGATCTCACTCTGTCACCCAGGTTGCAGGGCAGTAGCACCATCTCAGGTCACTGCAGCCTCCACCTCCCAGGCTCAAGCATTCTTCCCACCTGAGCCTCCCACGTACCTGGAACTACAGGCATATACCGCCACACTCAGCTAATTGTATTTTCTGTAGAGATGCGTTTCACCATGTGCCCAGACTGGTCTCTAACTCCTGAGCTCAAGTGATCTGCCCACCTCAGCCTTCCAAAGTGCTGGGATTACAGGTGTAAGCCACTGGGTCTGGCCTCAGGAGGCATTCTTTTTTTTTTTTTTTTTTTTTTGAGACAGAGTTTCACTCTTGTTACCCAGGCTGGAGTGCAATGGCGCGATCTTGGCTCACCGCAACCTCCAAGGAGGCATTCTTAAAGGTATTAAGGATTCGAGTTAAGACCTCACATAGAAACCTACTAAATTATCATAACAGGAATTATCATCTCTAAATAAAGCATTTGGCATCTCTTAGGAATTTTATAAAGATCATTGCTGCTTTTCAAAACTAGTTTTGTAGAAAACAGCAGAGATAATCACCCATTTAGGGTAAGCTTCGTAAAATACAAAGTACATGATGGAAACTTTGTACCTAAATGATCTAATTAAGTTTTAAAAATATGAAAACTAAGAAACTTTAAATTATAAGATACAAATAATATGATTATAATGCTTAGTACATTTCCCTCTGGATAAAATATGGGAAAGAAAGGTTTTGGTTAATTGACCTTCTGGTTAACCATTAAGTACTACTGTTGTTTTTTAAAGCATCAAGATATACATTTTATGTATTAATTGAAAGTTAGTTTTCCTTTGATGAATCAGAATATATATCAGTATTATACAGTGGTTCAAAAGCATCATTATGCTCAGAAATTATCACCCAGATCACCTGCATCACTGAAGATGCAGGCTGCTCATAAAGACAGAGTGAGTTTTCAGTGTGTAAGAACAAATATCTGAACTCATCATTTTGAGGCCTATCTTATTACAATACTACTTCATACTGGATATTGCTTACCAAAGAACCAAAACACTAAAGCAGTTATGAACTCATCAAATCTGGTCATTCTGCAGATTATCTAACTGTTGTATGCACAAGATAACCAACAAGGGTCTCAATAACAAGGCTACCCCTTTGTCAACAATACACAGCTTTAAAATTCTGAGAAATCTTTAATATACTCTCTTTACTTTTTAGCGGTCATTTTCCATAAGAGCTAGTTTCCATGTTATCTATAGTATGAGTAGAAAGAGTTGCACTCTTAACACTTCTTTTGACCTTCCATCGATTTCCAGTAACCAGTTTCCTACCAAGACTAATATCATTCAGAGACATAGGAATTCTAAAGAGAAAAGGGATGGGAGTAGTACATGGATGGCATTCTCTCCTCTCTTGAATTCCTAGCCTTCTTTTCATGAATAATAACCTCAGAGACTAGATGCCAATCCTACTTCAAGCTAAATTAAGCAGAACAGAAAGGCAGTTTTGGCAGTATTATTTATTTTAATAATATTATTCCTAAAATTTTACCTTTTATGGTTTTACATTTTTCTATTTTTTAATATTATTTTATAAAAATTCTAGTAGCCCCTGCTATGGTCTATGGTCTGGATGTGTCTCCCAAAATTTAAGTGTTGAAACTTGATGGCCAATGTGATAATATCAAGAAGTGGGGCCTTTATGAAGTGATTAGGTTATAAAGGTTCCTTCTTCATAAATGGGATTTACTCTTTCACTCTTCTGCCATGTAAATGGGACAATGAATAAAGATAATTTTTGATGCATAATTCTGGAAAATAAAACAGCTAATCTCTCTAACCACATCTAACATACAAATACTCATCACAGATTTGAACATTCTGTTAAGTTTTTTTTAATTTCTATATATTTTTGAATAGGTATTAAATGTCTACGGCATAAAAATCCAAAGAGTACAAATGCAAATACAGTAAAAACTAAATCTTCCTTCCTTTCCTGCCCACGCAGCTAGCCAACTGCCTTCCCTCAAAATACATATGTATTTTTAGAACAACAAAAAAAAATCATACTTCTCTGTACTTCACCTCTTTTACCTGAGACCATATGTTGGGGTCAAATTAATTTTAATTGAGAAGAGTCTTTTAAATAAGACATATCCAACTGCCTGGCATTTTATTTGATCTTCAGAAGTTCAATGTAAAGAATATTTTCAAGATAAGAATGCCTCACGGAAGAACAAAAGTACCCTAAGAATTTTCTGTATCATACCCATGATAAAGTTTAAATTATAAATTAGGCAGAGTAAGAGTTTAACAACAAAAACTAATAATTATGTTACTATCACTAAAGAATTAGTAAGTAAACAAAGGGTTACTTGAACACAAGCAGTGCCATACCACCACAGTTGATTTGATAACCAAGATGCTCTTGAGTGCCTCACAGGAGGGACAGCATCTAGAACACAGATATGCTGGACAAAGGGATGATTCACAGCCCAAGTAGATGAAGCAGGATGGCATGAGATTTCTTTATGCTACTCAGAATCACACCCAATTTAAGCTTATCAATTGTTTACTTCTGAAATTTTCCATTTAATATTTTTGGACTGCAGTTGACTGCAGTAACTGAAACTATAGCAAGTGACACACCGTAGCTAACAGAATACTGTATAATCCTAATAGGAGAATACTGTATAAGCCTTTCTTGTTTTTTCGTTTTTTGCTTGTTGTTGTTGTAGAAAGGGTCTCATTATGCTGCCCAGACTGGAGTGCAGTGTCACAATTATGGTTCGCTACAGTCTTGACCTCCTAAGCTCAAGTAATCCTCCCATCCCAGCCTCCCAAGTAGCTGGGACTATAGGCACATGCCACCAAGTCCAGCTAATTTTTTAATTTTTGTTGAGACAGGGTCTTGCCATGTTGCCCAGGCTGGTCTTAAATGTATAGGCTCAAACAATTCTCCCACCTTGGTCTCCCAAAGTGCTGGGATTAAAGGCATGAGCCACCATGCCTGGCCTATAAACTCTTTTTGTTGGCCCAATAGTAAACTACTCTTATCAGTCAAGATCCTACCTTCCCTTGCCAACTTTCCCTCCCATTGTGCTTCCTGGAACATCTGTTGCCCTTTTATGCCTCTGTTCCTCTGCTCATGCCACTACCTGTGATGTCCTTCTCTCATTTACGCTTTTTTTTTTTTCAAGTCAGGGTCTTGCTCTGCTGCCTAGACTGGAATGCAGTGGCACAATCATAGCTCACTGCATCCTTGAACTCCTGGGCTCAAGTGATCCTCCTGCCTTAGCGTCCCAAGTAGCTAGGACTACAGACATTCACCACCATGCCCGGCTAATTAAAAAAAATTTTTGTAGAGATGGGGGTCTCACTATGTTGCCCAGGCTGGTCTCGAACTTCTGGGCTGAAGCAATCCTGACTTGGCTTCCCAAAGTGCTAGGATTACTGGCGTGATTGAAATCATGTCCAATAGTACAGGCCTAGGTTCAAAAGGTAGCTCCTCCAGGAAGTTATCTCAAATTCTCCCCAGTAAGATTTATTTTCTTCTTCCCTCAAGGACTATAACTTTATTAAAGCACAGATGTGTCTGTCCTAGGTTGTATTTGTAAATATATTCACTAAATTATAAGACTTAAAAGATAAGAACAGCCTAGCACATAGTTGGTATTCAAAATACCATCTGAATTGGAATAGTGATTTTACTTTTTCCAAAGAATATCTAAAAATATATCTTATTTTATTATACAATTCCACACAAACCTGCAAAGATAGAACAGATATTATCATCCCACCCCATCCCCTGCCACATACCACTTGATGGATTATTGTAAACATTGTAATTATTATTATACTAAACAGTTAACATTTCTTGAACATTATGTGTCAAGCATTGAGCTAAGTGCTTTATACAATTTATTTCATTTAATTCTCAATGCAACTATAAAAGATAGGTTCTACCATAACCACCAATTTACAGATGAAGGAAATGAACTTCCAAGAGGCAAAGTTTTTCTCCATAGCCGACAGTTAGTAGGTTAGGGCTAGTAAGATGCAAAGCTTAGAATCAAACCCAAGTCTGTATAAATCCAAAGCTCATAATAACTGCTACACTTTTCTGCCTTTCACTATTTGCTCAGTTACCATTTATAAACCATGGTGTTCATGGCAGTTTAGTTAAACTTAGCAATAAAAAGTATTATCCGGCTTCAAAGATCCCAAAATTCACTAAAATGAAATCTGACATCTGTACTACTGAACTATAACTGCAACATTAAAATGAAAGAGTTACTTACTGGCACAATTTGCCTCCTGCCATGTGGTATTAAAAAACTCTGAGAGAATCACAACTATTTGCATTCTATCTGCCATTAAGAGACTTCTGGCACAACTCTGACTCTCTGAAGTATTCTGTAACAAAAAGAAGACAGAAAAATAAGTCTGAGTATTTTTAGACTTTACAAACAACTTGAGGCAAAAACCTTCCAAAAATAACATTTATGATAAGTCTTTTAACATTTTGCTTGATATGACCAGATAATGTTAACATTAATAATAACAATGGTAATAAAGTAATTAGCAGCTAATATTACTGGTACTGGGTTCATTTGCATGGGAAGAAAATCTTTGTATCTAGTTTGTACGCAAATGGAAAAATACACTTTTACAGATCATTTTAATAATGAAAGAAACTCATGTTATGCTAATAATAAATTCAAGTTCCCAAATTATTTGGTCCTTATCTATTTCCTTTCCCTTGTGCCCCAAGCAAGGAACTGAGTCCTGCTGGCCCTTCATTCTTTCAAAGTTATTTAACTACCACTATTTACCAGGCACTATAAAAATCCTGAAGTTCTGAGGATATAAAAAGTATTAAAAAATGCCATCGATTCTGGGGCTTTGCGAAACTCTCATAGATACACAGAAAAGGAGTTATATAGTGTGATGAAGAATAAAGAGAGTGGTAACTCCTGGGAAAAATGATCAGTCATGCGGAAGGAGAAAAGGAAAAAAGGGGAAAAGAGAAAAAAGGAAGAATTTTTGCTTTAAAATATTTGCTGATCTTCATTTAGGGAAGGTTATCTTCTTTGCAGCTTAATTTTGCCATCCCATTATAAGGTACATTTGAATGGGTGCTTGCTTTTAAAATAGTGAATTGAACAAAACTTTAAAAAAAATTTTTTTTTTTTTTTTGAGACAGTCTCACTGTCACCCAGGCTGAAGTGCACTGGCAAGATCTCAGCTCACTGCAGCCTCTGCCTCCTGGGTTCAAGCGATTCTCATGCCTCAGTAGTAGCTGAGATTACAGGTGCATGCCACCATATCCGGCTAATTTTTGCATTTTTAGTAGAGATGAGGTTTCACTATATTGGCCAGGCTGATCTCAAACTCCTGACCTCAAATGATCCGCCTGCCTCGGCCTCCCAAAGTGCTGGGATTACAGGCATGAGCCACACACCCAGCCATTAACAAAACATTTTATTTTATTTATTTATTTATTTATTTATTTATTTATTTTTTAAGATGGGGTTTCACCATGATGGCCAGGCTGTTCTACAACTCCTGACCTCAGGTGATCCACCCACCTCGGCCTCCTAAAGTGCTAGGATTACACTGTGAGCCACCACGTCCAGCTAACAAAACATTTTAAAAGTCTCTTTCTTAGAATTACTTTCTGAGCAATAGAAGTCACAGAAGAAAATTTCTATTGTCACTTCTTTTTTTTTTTTTGAGATGGAGTCTCACTCTATCGCCCAGGCTGGAGTGCAGTGGCACAATCTCAGCTCACTGCAACCTGCTCCTCCTGGGTTCAAGTGATCCTCCTGCCTCAGCTGCCTGAGTAGTTGGGACTTTAGGCATGTGCCACCATGCCTGGCTAATTTTGTATTTTTAGTAGAGACAGGGTTTCACCATCTCTGGTTTGGCCAGACTAGTCTTGAACTCCTGACCTCAGGTGATCCACTCGCCTCCGCCTTCCAAATGCTGGGATTATAGGCGTAAGCCACCGTGCCTGGCCTATTATCATTTCTTAAGTAGAAGTAACAATACTGTATTATTACAAGCCTGGGTTACTAGCTAGTGATCTTGGCTACCCTCTCTAAGGTTCAGTTTCAAAATCAAGGATCCTACAGTTACTATACTAAATAGAATACATTAATCACTCAGCACACTGTCTGGTACACAGTGACTGATACATGCTATTTCACCTAGCTACCATACTGCCAACCTGAAGTGCTCTGAGTTTAGTTGGCTAAGTGTAATTAGTTGCTTAAGTTGAATCTTCACAAGTGGGTGACTGGCTGATTTTAAAAATCAATACAGTACAGCCTGTACGAGTGTTCAATGTGTGTAATAGTTCAGCTGAGGAACATATCAACGTAGTTTTGAGAAATTAACAAAGAGTTCATGAAGGAAGCAAGATATGAACTAAGCCCTATATTGAGGAAGAGAAGAGGAGTGGAAAATAGAAGAATTAAATGATCATGGGGTAAAAGTGGTAATAATTATGTGGTACTCAGGGAGTATTCAGTAGCTACAAAAGTAGGGGTATTAAAGGGCTACGTTAGAAGATTATGAGAGGCCTTGAGGGTCATGAGAGTTAGACAGTGAGAAATTCTTGAAGATTTTTGAGGAGAGTGTCATGAAAAGCAGTTTCAGGAATATATGTCTAGGCTGTGCTATTTAGTGTGAGAAGGCAGGGAGACTAATTAGACTACTTCTATAGCTCAGGTATGATGAAAGGATGATGGCAACAGTGAGGACGAAAATAAATTATTAATAATCCAAATGATGATGAGGTACTTACTGAGTACTTAACAGTCCTTTCCAACTGCATTTCCTTATTTAATCCTCATAACAACTCTATAAAATAGGTAGTGTTAGCTGGGTGGAGGGTAACTATCAAAGGTGACTGAGAAGGAAAAATAAGGAGAGCAAGATGTCCTATAAATCGAGGATCGATCCAAGATGGCCGACCACTAACAGCTCGGGATTGTAGCTCCCAGTGAAAGCTCAGAGAACGAGACGACGCCACATCTTTAGACGAATTTTCGTCACTCACCGATCAGCCGATTCCCAGTGGAGGAGCCCCATGGGTCGCCAGCGCAACTCTTGTGGCCGCCGCAGCGGTTTTGCCAGCGTCTCGGCGCAGCAGCTCTTCATGCAGAGCCAACGGGACTGCTTCCCTTGATGACCGGAGTTTGGAGCTCCGGGAAATCAGAGCCGCTTGTTGCGGACTCAAGAGGGAAGCCAGACCAGAGATTCCCGGGCAGAAGAGCACCATCAGTCTTATCGCTGCTATTTAGGCCGCCACAATGGGTTGCTCAGATCCCAGCACTGGGAATCAATAAGTCGGACGTTGACTCAGAAACCTAATTAGAAAGGCGGTGCATCTACAATGAAGGGAAAAAAACAGCCTAAGAAGGCCAAGTATACTCAAAATCAGAACCCATCAGCAACGGAACAAGCCCTGATGGAAAAGGACTCATCAGTAACCGAAGGAGCCCTGATGGAAAAGGACTCATCAGTAATGGAACAAGCCCTGATGGAAAAGGACTGTGTTCCATCATCTGAAGTAGGCTTTAAAAGGTGGATGATAAGAAACTTCTGGGAGTTAAAGGAACTTGTTCTAACCCAATGTAAAGAAACTAAGAACTTGGAAAAAAGGTTCGATGAAATGTTGAAAAGAATAGACAATATAGAGAGGAATACAAATGAACTTATGGAGTTGAAAAATACAACACGAGAACTTAGTGAAATATGTACAAGCTTAAACAGCCAAATGGATCAAGCAGAAGAAAGGATATCAGAGGTCGAAGACCAACTTAATGAAACAAAACGACAAAACAAGAATAGAGAAAAAAGGATAAAAAGGAATGAGCAAAGTCTCCAAGCAATATGGGACTATGTGAAAAGACCTAATATACGCTTGATTGGTGTACCTGAATGTGACGGTGAGAATGAAGTCAAGCTGGAAAATACTCTCCAGGACATTATCCAGGAAAATTTTCCTAATTTAGCAAAGCAGGACACTATTCAACCCCAGGCAACACAGAGAACACCACAAAGATATTCCTCAAGAAGACCAACCCCAAGGCACATAATCGTTAGATTCACCAAGATTGAAACGAAGGAGAAAATATTAAGGGCAGCCAGAGAGAAAGATCAAGTTACCCATAAAGGTAAGCCTATTAGGCTTACAGCAGATCTCTCAACGGAAACCCTACAAGCTAGAAGAGAGTGGGGGCCAATATTCAATATACTTAATCAACAGAACTTTCAGCCCAGAATTTCATATCCTGCCAATTTAAGCTTTACATTTGAAGGAAAAATAAAATCTTTTAGGAACAAGCAAGTACTCAGAGATTTTATTACCACCAGGCCTGCTTTACAAGAACTTCTAAAAGAAGCATTATATATAGAAAGGAACAACCAGTATGACCCTTTCTAAAAATACACCAAAAAGTAAAGAGCATTAACATAAAGAAGAATTTTCATCAATGAAAGGCAAAGCTACAAGGATACAAGGGTAAAAGGATTAATGTAATAATAAGAGATCTTAACACCCAGATACATAAGACCCATAATGAGATTTAGATTCAACGAGACAGAAAATTGATAACGATATCCGGGACTGGAACTAAGATCCAGAACAAATAAACTCAATAGAGCTCTCCATTTTAAACACACAAAATATGTATTATCCACAAAATCTAACGATATATCTAAAGATATACAAAGACGCAAAACAAGGGGATGGAGAAAAACTCACCAACCAAATGGAGAGCAAAAATAAATAAATAAATAGCAGGAGTTGCAATTCTCACACTTAATAAAATAGATTTCAAAGCTACAAGGATGCAAGGGTAAAAGGATTAATGTAACAATAAGAGATCTTAACACCCAGATACATAAGACACATAATGAGATTTAGATTCAACGAGACAACAAATTGATAACGATATCCAGGACTTGAACTCAGAGCCAGAACAAATAAACACAATAGAGGTCTCCATTTTAAACACATAAAATATGCATTAACCACTTTAAACACTCAAAATATTGATCGGCCATTATTGGAACCCATTTTAGGAACGAAGTAATATTCCTTTTTCCCTCTTTTTCTTTGTTTCCCCTTCTTTTTCTCTAAAAAAAAAAAAAAAAAAAAATGCTTGGAAGATCTGTTTGCTAGCCAAACTGAAATACAAAAAGAAAAATCAAATATCTGACATATGATTCCATTTAAAATACGTAAGGAAAAAAAAAAGAATATTCTATTTAAAACTTTCATGTTTTGGAACCATTGTAAAATATCCATAGTAAATATTCCCTTTTTTAAAGCTTGGGTTTCTCTCAGAGACAGTTAAATGGATATGATCCAGTTTCAGAAAGTCTTAGGAGGTGACAAAAAA